ACGCAAGAACCATGTCTACGGGGAGCGCAAGCTGGCCGAGGGGCTGCCCAGGGTGTCCCCCGCGCCGCTGCCCCAGCAGCCCTCCCTGCACTACGCCAAGCCCTCACCCTTCTTCATGGACCCCATCTACAGGTACCAACCCGCCTGCCCCCGAGGTCCTGGGCCCCCTTCCCCACTCAGCCCCAGCCCGGACCCTGTGCCCTGCCTTCTGCCACCGCCCTGCTCCTTCCCAACCCCCCACAGCCCACTTCCTTTAGGCTGCACCCTCCCCAGCCCCCCCAGCCCAGCCCTGGAGTCCAGGTAGGGCTTTCTCCAAGCCTGGGAATCCTGGAGTAGTTGGTCCTTGTTGGAGGGTAATGGGGAGGGAAGGAGGGCACCCAGGGGCTTAGAAAGGCCAGTGTATCCTTGAGCTACTCTCCCTGTGATGCCAGCAGCTCGGCCTGGTTGGGGGGGGTGGGGGCGGGGATCTGCCCCCAGAGCAGGAGTTTCCAGACCTGCCTGACCACACGAGGGCAGGACCCAGAGGCTGAGCTGGACTGGGCCGGGCAGCAGGGAGCACAGAGCACGGCGGAGGTGAGGCGGAGCGGACAGCAGCACGGGACATCAGCCATAGCACAGGAGGGCACAGTGACGCACGCACCTGTGACACACGCTGGGCGTGCAGGCCTCCAAGAGGAAGCCAGAGGGCCGCCGCCCACCTGCTGCGTCCAGGCGAGAAGCAAGCATCCAGGCTACGAGCCCTGAGGGTGGAGTGGGTTGCCCCTCTGGGTATAAGTGGCAAGGCCGGCAGTTTGAACCCACCAGCCACCCCTCTGGAGAAAGGTGCACCTGGCAGCACCTGGAAAGATGCACAAACTGGGGGACCCTCAGGGGCAATTCCCCTCTGTGCTGTGGGGTCACTGTGAGTCTTCACGCCAGAGCCCAGCAGGCCGGGAGCTCCAGCCACAGGGCATCAGCTGCCCCTTCTCAGCCGTGAACACACCGGGTCCCACCCACAGGCTCACACCAGTGAATTCATGTGAGGTGCCACCCAAGTGTCTCGGACCGATGGCCACCGTACGCCCAGCAGAGTGAGCCACTGCCCGGCGGCCCTGCGTGTTTCCCCTGGCCCTCCACTGGGGCAAAGCGGAGGGCCACATACAGCGTTGCTCTCCTCTCTCGGTGGCACGTCCAAAAAGGCCACTGAGGGGATGTCTTGCCATGCACACTTCCAAGGAGCCTCTGGCTGTCTACCTGCCGTCAGGCTACTTCTGGCAGCTCGAGGGCTGCTCGCTGCTCTCCACCGATGCCGCAGGCCACAGACGCCAGTTCTTCTCCAGCTTTTGAATGCAGAGGGGGCGTCAGGTGCCGCTGAGGTGGCCCTGACCCATCGCGACCCTCCGGTCGCACCACAGCAAGGGGCACGGCCGCCCCCGGCGCCCACCTCACAGCTGTTCACGTGCGTCAGAAAGCCAGGCCGCCATCGTCCTCACAGTGACATCGCGGCTTGGTGACCCTTGTGCAGCAGATTTCTCAAGGCCATGCCTCCCTGGGCCTCTAGCCCGTGGCTTCCCCGGGCATTGTGGGGGAACCCGAGTGAAACGAAGCCGCCCTTGACAGCCTCGGTCTCCTGTCCTCTCTTATCGTGTTACCCGCTGGTGCGGCTGAGAGGGCTTCCGTTTCTTCAGCCCATCCTGAAGGCCCAGGTCTTGGATCCTCCTCAACAAGTGCTTCCGTCCTCCTCACCTCCAGCAAGCGCGCTGTGCCCTCTGCGTGCCGCAGGTGGTTAATGGGTCTTCCTCCAGGCCCAATGCCGCCTCCCACCTCCTGGAGTCCCGCTTCTCCGAAGATTCCCTCGGCATACAGACTGAAGGAGTGTGCTGATCAGAGATGAGCCGGCTACCCACCTTGCCTGATTTTAAGCTGTGTCAGTGCCTGCCACCAGGCTGTATGTCCCATGGGGGCCCTGGAGCTGCCACCCAGGGTCACTTGGAAACGCCCGCTGGCTGTGTCTTTGGAAGCATGCCATCTGGGAGCGCTTGAGAAAGAGACTGAGGCATCGCCAATGAGGACAGCTATGCACCCGTCCAGTCGGCCCCCCACTGGCGTGGGGAGCAAACGGGGCCACCAGGTCCTGGGGGAGCACTTCAAGGAAACCAGAGTCTCCCAGAGCTCTGGCAAGGCCAGGTGACACTGGGACGTGAGGAGAGGGCACCCAGCCGAGCTCCCAAAGCATCGTACAGCATGTGCGGGAGAGGCCCGTAGCTGGGTGCTCTAGGGACATACGGGCGGGTGGGACTTGAAGGGGGTCTAGAGACACAAGGGCCAGGGTGAGAGTGTTCCAGAAGCAGGGGTGCAGGTTGGAGCGCACAGCTAGGTTAGTGGGGTGGCCGTGGTGGCCCCCAGGCCCAGCAGAGGCGTCAGGTGGGAGGCCGAGCGGGGAAGCAGGACAGCCCCGGTGGGTGCAGACTGCAGGGCTGACGAGCTCTCGCTGTTCAGTACAGGGGCAGTTCCGTAGGGTGCGTGACCCTCTGTGTTGCCGTCCAGCAGGGTAGAAAAGCGGAAAGTGACCGACCCCGTGGGTGTCCTCAAGGAGAAGTACCTGCGGCCGTCCCCGCTGCTGTTCCACCCCCAGGTAACGACGGGGCGGGCAGGGGCAGGGGGGGCAGTGGTGGCCCAGGAATCGGTGCTCAACCTGTGGGCCCAGGGAGGAAGCCTATCTGGTCCATCTCCGCTTCTCCCACTAATGGCCACCAAGCCCATGCTGACACAAAGGGGCCCTGTCGGACAGGGCAGAACTGGCCCTGAGGGTTCCAAAGGCTTTACAGGAACAGCGAGCTTCATCTGTCCCCCCAAGAGCATGCGTTAGTCCGGGTGGACTAGAGAAACAAATTCATAGACACTCATACGTGTGTAAGAAAGAGCCTTATACACAAGAGCAGCTGAACATTCATAGAACATCCCAGCCCAGTCCAGATCAAGTCCGTAAGTCTGATATTAGCCCATGTGTCTGATACCAATTGATAAAGTCCTCTTTAGACCCACGAAACACATGCAATGACACGGAAGGCAGGAAGACCACAGGCCAGTGGGTGGGAAGTCTTGTGGATCCAGTGGCAATGGGAGCATCTCAGTGCTGGCAGGGGTCTCCATGTGGCTCCTCCAGCTCCAGGACCCTGGCTCCATCAGTGTAGCTCCATGTCAACAGGAAGGTCTCACAGGGAGAGAGTGAGTCTGGCCTCCAGTGAGCTATTTATCTCCTTCGTGCCCCCAAATGAGGTCATCAGGCTGTGACCTGATTGACAGGCTAAACTCCACCCCTTTCCATCTTAATAGTCTCACATTGGCACCAGATGATGTAGCCGCCACAGAGCGGCCGGTGGGTCAGCAGCGGAGTGGGCCATAGCGCACTCTGCCATAGCTCCCGTCTCTCGGCTTCTAGTGGTCGGCAGTTCTCAGTGTCCCTGGGCTTGTAGGTGCCTCTACCCCTGACGCCTGCTGGCAGAGGAGGCCTTGCCGCTGGGTCGGCCAAGTATCTGCTTCTCCTCCAACTGCTCAACCGTGATACTGTCTGGGACCCACCCTGCTCTGACCTGGCCTCATTAACAAAGCCAAGTCAACTCGGTTCCAACACAAACCTTGGTGGGAGTACCTTCAGCCCATAAACAGTGACCCTGCAGGTCCTCACATAACCAGACCACACCAGGCTGCTCCAAGGCATGCAAGAAGCTAGGCTCCGGGGGTCAGGGTCCCCAAGTCTCTGCCCACTAAGGCTGAAGGCACCCAGAGGCAGGCCTGAGATGGGTGGCCCTAAACACCTGAGTCTAGAGGCAGAGGGGCATGTTCTTTGCTGACTCCAGGAGCCATGGGTGGCTGGAGTTGACGGGTGGACAGGGAGGACTTGGGACAGGGAGGAGCAGGGCCCGGGAGGTCTCCGGAGGCAATAGAACCCCAGCCTCTGGCCCAGCCCAGCTCAGTGTTCAGTGTGCACTGTGGCTGACGCCCCAAAACAGGCCTGAGGGCAGAGGAGCTGCAGCCCAGTTTCACTCCTTACGATTCATTTCATGTAAATGGTAGAAGCCTGGGGGTGTATTCCCTCCAGCCAGAGCCCTGTGTGCACCCGAGGCCAACCCCTCCCCTGCACTTGGGGCCAAACCAGCTAAGGGTGTCCACCAGAGGCCATGGGTGGCCTGCCCAGGGTCCTGTAGGGCAGAAAGGAGGCCAAATGGGTGGACACTAATGGGAAGGTTGGAAGTTCAAATCTACCCAGAGGCGTGGGGAAGAAAGGCCTGGCAACCTGCTCCTGTACACTCAGCCCCGGGAAGCCTGCAGAGCACAGCTCAACCCGGACACGCAGGAGCTGTGCAGCCCCAGTGGGAGGAGGGAGTGGGTGCACAGAAAGGAGGTGGGGGGTAAGGGAGAGTGTCCCTGGTCTGGGGCCCAGAAGCACAGGAGGAGTGACTGGGGGCATGTGGAAGTCAAGGCAGGGAGCAGCCCTGGGGAGCACAGAACGAAGGAGCCTTAGGAAGATCTCAATGAAATCACCAGAAGATTCTGGAGGGGGAGGGGGCTGTGTGATGGGGGAGGAGCAAGAAGACAAGGAGGCCGGAACAGGGAAAAGCAGGAGGGCCACACCCACCCACCCTTCCCCATGGAAGGAGGGACCCCAGGGAGGCAGTCGGATGGAGCCGAGAACTGGTGTGCTATAGAAAGCAACAGCGCAGAACCTCCCCATGCCCACCTGTCCCAGCCCCCCTCTGGGAGTCACCAGCCCCTGCCCCCCCCACCCCACGCACCTACCCAGGAGCTCCAGCACTTAATGGGCCTGCAGAGGGGACATTGTTCTCCTTCCTGGTGTCCCTGCGGCGGACAGACACCCACTGCTGTGAACCTCGCACTCAACCTGGTTCACAGCTAAACTTAGTGCCGGCCATTGTCTGGCTGTGCCGAGGGCCCCTGGAAGGACTTCCCCCGATTTTCCCCGGGCCGGCCGGGGAGGCCCACATCCTGCGTTTGTGCGAGGGAGAATGGTTGCGATAGGGGCCAGCAAGGCCCGTCCCTGGTGGGCAGGCCTGTGGGACCGGCCGCCCATTGTCCCTCCTGGCCCCTGGCCCAGAGCCATGCCCACACTAGACGGGGCCTGAGTCAGTCACAAAACACTAGGGCTGACCCTACAGGGATGCTGACCTTCCAGGAGGCAAGGCACAGAGCCCACCATTCCTGGGTCCCCCAGAACACTTTGGGGTGCGGCCTGGTGCTCTGACCGGGGCTCAGTCCCTCCTCCCCCAGGGGTCCTGGGGGAGTCTCAGGGTGAGAGGGAGGTATCAGGTGTGCAAGGCTGGGACTTCTCGGTCAGGGTCCCCCGTGCCTGGGAATTCAGACCCACTCTGGGCCCATCCCCAGGTCTTGGGAGGGTGATGAGAGGCTAGAACACAGCTGTGGGCGCAAAGGGCTTCTGTCTGTCCAACAGTCAGGCTGGGGTAGCAGCGTTGGTGGCAAGCCTAGGGCCTCCCCAAGGTGATGATGTGGAACCCAGGCCCTGGGGACACCCCCCCAGGGGGGTCAGAGGATGACACCCACTGGAGGACTCCTTCTGTCCCTCTGTCTGTCTGTCTTCCACAGACCTAACGCAGTTATCACTTAAAACTCCCCACCACCAAGTTGGTTGTAACTCATAATGACCCTGTACAACCGCCCCTGTGGGTTTCTGAGACTGTAACTCTTGATGGGAGGAGAAAGCTTCATCTTTCTCCCCAGGAGCAGCTGGTGGTTTCGAACTGCTGACCTGGTGTTTCGCAGCCCAACGAATGACCCACTATGCCGTGAAGGCTCCTTGCAGAGATATCATTTCCCCATGATAAAGTCTGCCACTGTCAGTGGACTTCTGTTTAAGCCCCACCTCCCTAGGCCACCCCAGGTGACTAGCCGTGTCCACTTTCCATGGTGAACCCA